CTCCACATATCATACTTGGCCTCGAGGACAGTTTTGCTTTTCATACAGTGAACTTTCATAGCTACTAATCTCAAATGCTTGCACACTCTAGGCAAATGGCCACATTGTGAACCCCAATATGGGAGGATTAAAAAACAAAAACACCCCTCAATTGACACCAAAAATACATCAGGCCATGGAAACATTGATATTCAGGTACAGAAGTGAACAAAATGATCATTTATGGATTTTTGTAGGTGACAAGGAAGATATTTTAATGGGGAAAAGGGAAGTAGGTCAAAGGCACCTTGGAACTAGCACTTGATAAGTTCTTTTCGGATTGCCTGGAGAGGAACTAGAGTTGAGAAATTTGTACCCAGAAACACTTGCAGGCTTGGGAGCCGGTATTTTTGTGGCTCAGAGTTCCTCTGGTTGGAACTCAGGCCCTTCGTGTGGGGAGGAGAAACAAGATAGAAAAAACTCTGCTGGAATCCAGGGGGCTGAGAAGGCAGCAGGGGCCAGAGGTCTGTCTTGGTGGCAGTGGGATCTGCCAGACATGGCATCTGCTTCCCTGCTCTGTGTTGAGACTTGACTCTCAGCTACAGGAGGGAGCCCCGGTAGCTGTCGATGGAGCATATGCACCTACAAGGGGGACACTGATCAAACCCTTCTGAGGGCTCAAGGGTGATAGGAACTGACAGAATCATCCAGCACTATTCCTGGGACTTTGCAGGCCTTCTAAACTATAGTCATTATTGCATTTTTATTTATCAAATGGGAAAAGATCAGAGAATCTTGAAATCTATCTTTCTAATTATATTTAAGGGATTTAAAAACTGTAAAGATTATTTCATTCAATGTGTAGATTTAGCAACATACGAACATATTTTAACACATAGAACACTAAAGTCTGAATAAGATGGGTTAATTCAGCTCACAAGAATAATTCAACTAGAGGGCCTGCCCTGTATCCTGCCTGGACCCCAAATGGCTGGCTGTAGTTTGAGTCCCAGCCTCAGTGGCTTGAGAAACACAATGTGTGTGTGTGTGTGTGTGTGTGTGTGTGTGTGTGTGTGTGCATGTGTGTGTGTCCCAAATCCCAAAAGAATTAAGAAACAGAAGAGAAGAGATTGCAGCATGACCAGGCTCTATTGGCAGATGTGTTCTCTCTCTGTCTCTACGTCTCTCTATCTGGTGAATACATGTGTTTTCTGGAAATCTAGAAAGAAAGAAAGGGAGGGAGGGAGGGAGGAAGGGAAGAAAGGAGGAAGGAAGGAAGGAAGAAAAGAGAAAGAAAGACTGGCCCAACTGTGCTCTCTGCAATCTATGAAATGTCATTCTGAGAATAAAAACTAAATGTGGGGGTCCTATTTGACATAGTGAGAAACTGGTGAATCTCAGAGTGCTGTGGCACAGGTCGACAATGCGTAAGTGGCTCAAGGAGTACCAGACAAATCATTTGGCTGCAGCAAGGAGACTGTGGGCCTGAGCCATCTCTTGTGGTTCTGGAATAGCAATAGTTTTAACATGAGTTTCTAGTGCTTTTGATCAGATTCTGAAAATAATAAATTTTATGGGTAAATGAGCAAGTCTGATTACTTAGACTGGTCAATAAGAACTTGTAATTTCATGCATGCTTTCAAACCAAGAGCTGTTTTTCACCTGCAGCCCTGGATGTTCACTGTTGGCACAATTCCCTGCCATCAGCCAGAACACTCAGAGCAGCCAAAGCTATTCTTCCCAGGCTCCTGAGCCACGAGAAACTAACACTGAATTTTACTACTAAAGTTCAAAGAAAGAAATGGCTCATATATATATTTTTCCCCAACCAGCCCCCTCTCTCCTCCTATTATTCACCCCCAATTACCCACCTCCTTCTATATTGTCTCTACTATCTACAGTTGCCTATCTTGCCACTATACTTTCCAATCTTTCAGTTTCTGCCGTAGAGTGCAGACATTTGGTATATATTAAGTGGGGACATACAATGCCTGTCTTTCATAGTCTGGCTTCGGATGAAAAGTTATCTGTTGATGATGACGTTTATGTACATGGCAATGTCTCTGACTTGACTAATATGCACTGTATTCATGCTGGGAAAACCATGTTGTACACTATAAAGATGAACAGTGATTAAATGCACAGGGCCAGCAGGTGGCATGGTGGTTAAGGTGCTGAATTCCCACATGGTCCAATGTGGTTCAAGTCCTAGACCTGGTGGCTTAGAAAATGACAAAAAATAGATAGATAAATAAATAAATAAATGTAAAAAAAAGTGCAAATAAAAAAGGTTATACCCAGCAAGTATATATAAAATAAAATGTTCAACTATTTTAGAACAAAAAGAAATATCTTAAAAATAAGCAAATCTCATTTCAATTGGGCTTTTAATTTCATTTTTGTATATGAGAAGAAGAATTAAGTGTGAAAGATAAAGAGTCAACTTTTAAAGTTCTAGCCACCAAATTGAAGTATCACAAGAACCTTGAAGAGTCTCTGATTCTGCCATCCTCTATCACTTGAAACGACTCTCCTCCTTCCTGAACTGTTAGTTTGTGTTTGCCAGGGGTTCAATACTAAATCGCTGGATGTTGGTTTTTGGGTGTGTTATGGCCATTATTTACCTACTATAAAGTTTGTAGGATTCTTTTAAGTAACTATATAATTTTTCAGAATTAAAAACTGAGTTAAACCTGAAGTCATGTTACAGAAATCAACAAGAGGAATGACTTAGAATTTTAAATTTCAGGGCCAGCAGGTGGTACTTTAACCAGATGCTGGACTCCCATGTGGCCAATTGCAGTGACTTGAAACTCACACCTGGTGAGTGTGTGTGTGCCCCCAAAATCCCAAGAGAAGAATGAAGGAGAAGGACCTGTGGCATGGCCATTCTCCCAGGGAGTGATTTCTTGCTTTCTGTCTCTCTGTCTCTGTCTGTCTCTCCAGTGAGTGCATGTGTCCCATAGCAAAAATCTCTCTCAAAAATAAATAAATAAATAAATGAACTTTAAATTTCAAAGTCATAAAAATAAATACTCCTCTCTTAAACAGCCAGCTGGTTTGCTTTAGCATTATTTATAATGATGAATTTTTTCAGATAGGAAAAAAGTGAGAACATGTCATTTTTACTTTATTATTATAGATTCCACCTTGGGTTCACCAAAGCATGGTGTGAAGGGTACTGGTATAGGTTTACATTTCCTCAAAATAATGAAGATGAAACCAGAAAACCTCTGAAGGTTCCATAAAAGCATCTGAAGAGGTATGATATCCATTACATTGAAATGTGTGTTGAACGCAAATAAAAACCATTAGCAAGAAATGCTCACACCTACAGGGAAATCACTTTGCACCTGTGTTTAAAACCTTTCTGGTGTTAAATCAGATTTCAAAAGTTGTATTTTGGTAAACTAGGTTCTATTACCTAAAAGGGTAGGTGGTATCATTAAAAACAAAAGTCTAGAGACTGAGGTTGGAGGAGTAAAGAGGAAAATGAAGCACCTGGTGGGGAGTACCTGCGCTGAGGGAAGCTCCCTGCTATGGGGAGAAAGGTAAGTGAAATATCCCCAGCACTCCCCATTCCCACAGTGGACCCAAGTAGTCCTGCACACAGGAAAACCTCGTGGTTCCCAGAGATCTGGAGTGTATAGAGTTGCCCAGAGTCCATGTGAGGCTACCAACTCAGAGAAGAAACACTGTGGCTGCTGGGTGCTGCCCCCAACCTTTCGAAGCAAGTTCCTACAGCACAGTGCTGCCTGGGAGCAGAGCCTCAGCTCATGCACACCCAGCCTAGGGGCTCAGTGCGCCTTGCATGGGCACGTCCCTCAGGCACTGCTGTTTCCCCAGGTCACCCACACCAAGAGTGGCAGAGCCAGACCAAGGACTGAGCCCAGCAGTGCAGCAGTGACCCAAGTGTCTGGAGCACCCTGAACTTCTGGGAATCCCACGCAACAGTGGGAGGATGGCCCTGAGACCTGGCGTGATTCAGAGACAGAGTTTTTGATCATTCCCCACCAGAGTTTGAAAACTCGAGATACCCACTCCCCAGAGACAGAGTCTGAGTCCTCCTCTGAGACCAAAGACTGCCGACACCCCACCCCTTTACACCGCCATCTGCAGCTCCACCTGCCCAGTGGGTGTGGGTGTGACTTCTGCGTGCTGAGTTTCTGCCAGGAACCAGAGCGGTGGGACCAAGCGGCCCCACGCTTGTTAGGGCTCTGTGACCTCTGTCACTTCCTGCAGCTTCTGCACACTGTGAACACCCCGTCCAGGGCCCTGAGACACCAGACTAAATGCACTACCTCTGTGGAACCCCATGGCCTCAACCCCTCATCCAGTGTGGCTTCCACATGAATTGCACACTTCAACTTTGTTCGAGGTGACCACTTGGAAGCAAATGTTACAACCAACCCAACCACCTCAATTCAAAGGGCCTCTGTGTGCCTCACGGAGGGCCCCTCCCCGCAGTCAGGATGTCTTGGGGCCTGATTAAAACACAGTATTCTGTGGTGACCACGCAAAGCTCTGGAGGCCACAGTGTCTAGAGAAATCAGTCCTGTCTTAGGAAAAAGCCTGACATACTTCTCTGGTTGACATCAAGTGCCACAGCACGCTTTCAACTCTCCTTCCTAGATATTCTGGGGTACAACTTGGAGGATTCATGAAAAGCCACTGTGGTCTCAACCTTTCCCTGGTCTCATTTTATTGAAAAAACATCCTGGGTCAAAGGAAGTCAGCCCATGTTAAGTCAGTCAGAAGCTGAGATGACCAACTTATCAGACGTTCTTTACTCAGAGAATGAGTAAACGTAAAAATGATATAGAGTTATAAATGTCAAACATACTAATCTTATATGGTTCACAGGTCTTAAATCAGTCAGAGCTAATTCCAGGTAGGAGCTTCACCTGTGCTCACGGTCTTGCATACATGATGCTAGGCTATGTTTTCCTGGCAGGGGAATTTCTGCTACCGCATGGCTTGGACACTGTACCCGAGGGAGAAAGCATAGAGAGATTCCCAACCTGGCTCACACAGCTGGCCTGACTCAGGGTGCTGACGGCCCGCATGTAGCTCTGGTTCCTGGAGCGGAACTTCGGGGAGTTGTAGTTGGCAGAGGGGTCCAGGCTGTGACCCACAGACACGTCACTTGCAGCTTGCAGGTAGCTCTGGCTATAAGAAAAGAGAAACAGGGAAAGATGTTCCATGAACATCCGCCAAAGGGAGAGTCATGAGAATGATTCTTCGAACCTCCACTAAGAGGCTGTTAGAAAATGCCCAGCTGAATGTTTGTCTTTTGATGGGTAACTTCGCCGTCTATAAATATTCTGAGGTTCACATTTACGTATGTGGATTTCATCAGAAGTAATGGGAGAGGCTATTTACAAAATTGCTTTGAAACCTGACTTTATAAGGCCAGGTAGTGAAATTAGGTTCATCCCACATTTTAGAAGGTGCTGAGAGTACTAGTGACTCATACCACATAATAGAGAACCCTGCTCCTGAATCTCAGCCAGGAAACCCCGACAGATTTGTAAAAATCATGCAAACTTTACATACTCAGAGAAATAAAAGAAAAAAATAAAGGGCTTGCTTTCAGTTCTAACTTATGTAAAGTTGTCCAGATTATGCAGTATAGGCAAAAGAGTAGGCTGACAAATCTACTTTATTACCATGATGATCATTTTCTTCCAAACGCCCTTAAAAATTCATGTTCTCTGGTCTTCCTTCTTGCTATTTTGTAAAATGTTAAAAGCATGGGAAAGCCTTGAGAATGTTTGTCGGATAGAAGGTCAACTTAGCTTAGATTTTGGGCTAATTGAACCTTTCCAAGTTTTGTTGACAATCTTTCTACAATGCAATAAGAACTCATTTTATTTTATCAAAAACTAAAGTAATAAAAATGTAAATTATTAACGACTCTTTTGATCTATCTTGTATCTTAATAGAAACATTGCATAGATCTGTGCATGAAAATGTATATAAATATTTGGTGGGTGAGTCTGACTCCATAGGCTCCTGTATGTTCTTTTCTTCTTAAATGCCTGGTGTGACTTGTTTTCTCTGTGATTTGCTGATCTTTTAAAAAATATGTCAGTAGAGGCCAGAAGATGGTGTAGTATGGTTAAAGCACTGGACTTTCACATGGCCTACTGTGGTTCAAGTCCTAGACCTGGTGGCTTGAAAATCACACTGAGCGAATATGCATACATGCCCAAAATCACGAGATGAGAAAAAACTGGAACTCATTCTAAGTTCCGATTAATGAAGCCCATTGATTAAAAGTCATTCTTCCTGCTAAAAGTAATTTTTGCCTTATAAGAAGGTGTTAAAAATACACTCCAACTCCTAGCTCCATTCCTTTCCACTCAAAACAGACTGAGAGAGACACAGAGAGAGTGAGCAAGTCAATGGGAGGAAATTAGTTTTAAGCAGATTCTAATTTTAGTGTGCAAGAAACATGATAATGCCTTCATGCCAATGATTGGCTCGTTGGAAAAGTCATGACGTATTTTTTCTAAGCAAAAATGCATCATGACTTTTCCAATGACCCATTATCACCTACTCCCACCGCATCAGTTTTGGGGACCGTCATTGGCACCAGCAGAGGGCACTGTCCCTTTCTCTTCTCCATGGACCTTCCACTTGAACAACCAGTGAGTAGAACAGGTGAATGGGACAGAGCCCCCCCTCCACTGACACACACCTTCCCAGACTACCTAGTTGTTCTCACCCTGAACTTGACCAGATTCAACAGAGCAGCAAACTGTCAACAGTGTCTTGAGACTTATTTTGCGTTGGGGCTCATGTTGGCTTTGATAAGTGGACTCACCCATAACCCTGTAAGTGACCCTGGCTTGCTTTTGTGTGCATGTTTAATACAATGTCATGTGCAAGGACAGTGCCTGGAGCTATGGGGCAGGAGCAGCATGGACTCCGAGGGATGCCTGAGCCCTGACTTGGGCTCCTAACTCAACCCTGCAAAAATGTAAACTTTCTGCATTTCCCCTTTCCTTCTCTTTTTCACTGCAATCACTGGTTTCTACCTGGCATTTCTACCCATTAGCACTAGTATCTTTTCTTCCAATATAATCATTTTCTTTTTTGATTAGTACCATCATTCCATCATTTTAACTTTCTCAACTAAAGTTCTTTCTACCTGGAGAAAATAGGATAGAAGGACTCACATCCTCTTTATCTCAGTATCCGTGAATTCTAGCAAGGGCCTGATGCCATGAACGAAGGGGTGGCCTTAAAACTCAGCCCAGGACCCTTTTGGCAGCTGCTGCATGGCGCTCAATCATGGATCAATGTGTTTTGTAACTTTGTGTTTCAAATAGGCATTCTAACTTTCAGTGATTCTCTTTATTCCAAAATGGGTTATGCCACTTAAGAAAAAACATGGCTAATAGAGGAAGCGGTATTTTTTTTTCTTTTAAATATAGACTCATGGTGTTAACACGTGTCATATCTTAATATTATACCAGATACTCTAGTGGGTATTTTACATTGTCTGAAATCATTTAATCTTCATGTGACTCCCATAGATAGATATCAATAACTCTTATTGTGCAAGTGTATTGTACAGCTGGACTTTACAAAAAAGAGTGAAGAACAATTATGAACACACACACGCATATACACCACCCCAAAAAGACTGAGGCATGTCAAGTCATATGTACAGATCACGCAGAGCCAAGGACACAACTAGATTCTGAACCCCAGCAGCTGGGCTCCAGAATTCATGCTATATATTTTTCATTTTTTTAGAGGTTTTTGCCTTAGGGCACAGGGGGAGAGAGAGAGAGGGAGGAAGAAATGAGAGGGAATCATCCCCCAGAGGGGATGGCAATGCCACATTCCCTTTTTCATTGTCCTCCCAGGATCTTGGGCACACATGCACACATGCCTGGCATGAGTTTCAAGCCACCAGGTTTGGCACTCAAATCGCAGTTGACCATGTGGAAGTCCAGTGATGTAACTGCTATGCCATCTGGTGGCTTCCAGAATTCATGCTTTTAATCCCAAGATAACAGCTGCTAAATCACAGAACCAGCGCCCAAAGCTCCCAATTCTCTATTATCATACATTTTAAAGTAGTTAAAACACAACCCTTGGTCTCATTTGGCTTACTAGAGGATGTTTTCTTAATCGAAAATTATTGTAATGGGTCAGCATTCTATAATAGGAGTGACCAAGAAGGTCCACTCTCCTTATACATCACAGATCTGAAGAGTGAAAATCAAGAACTAAGACGGGGAGATACATTGATATGGTACAAGTCAGTTTTCTCTTTGCTACATAAAACCCATCCCCCAGGCCCCCTAGACACCTAGCACTCCACGGCATCCCACTTACTCATGCTTTAGAAATCCTTCCTTGGCAATCCCACGCCATTTTGAAGTTGCCTTTAAGCCCTTTTGGTGATTCCCTCAAAGAGAGAGTCCTGCTTCAGCATTCCTGGTCTCGGAGACTGAAAAAAATACTTTCTTATGTCGATGGCAGCTCAAAAACTTTAGAAAGGAAATCATAAAAAGTTTTCTAGAATAACATTAAAATATATATATATATTTTTTTTGGAGAGATTTTCACTGTAGGGCGCATGCGCTCGCCAGACAGACAGAGAGAGACATAGAGACAGAAAGCGAGAAATCACCCCCCAGGGGGGATGGTCACGCCGCAATCCCTTCTCCTCCATTCTCCTCTCGGGGTCTTGGGCACGCACGCACACGCGCCCGGCGTGAGTTTTAAGCCACCAGGTCCAGGACACGAACCGCGGTCGACTACGTGGGAGTCCAGTGACATAGCCATTACGCTAACTGCTGGTTCCCAACATGAAAATATTTTTGTTCTATTTTTTGTCTTCCAAGTATTGCTCACATTCGGTTGTCAGAGATGCAACATAGAAACCTATTTCGAAATGCTGTTAAGCATGAACGAGTAACCCTATGAGAGGGTTTAAGTGACTTGCTGGTATTCTACATTTTTCTTTCCATTTGTGAATTGTCCTAGAGTTCTTTGTGGAATTGTGTGCTCAGGAATCTCTTCTGTGACTTCGATGACTACAAAAACAAATTTACATAACAAAATACATGCCTAAGCAAACATTTGAATTCACCTATTTAAATAGATCTATGTAAATATATGTGAAAATATAGATGTAATAAATTCTTCCCTTTGTCTTTATCACCTTAGAAATGTAACAAAGAAGATTCTAGGCAAGTCATATTAAGGAGAATATAAGAAAACTTTTTATTATATTAAATGTGTTTACTTCTAATACAGAGCACATTTTTGTTTTTTGTATTTATTTATTTATTTAATTTTTGCTAGTGGGTGCATGTGCTCATCAGAGAGAGAATGAGAGCGAGAGAGAGAGAGAGCGAGCGAGAGAGAGAGAGCACCCTTGATGAGGAATGGTTGTGCTGCAATCTCTTCTCTTTTTTTTTTCTCTTGTTCTTTTTAATTAATTAACTAATTAACATTCATTTCCTGAGCATTGTCACAGCATACAAAATGTGACTTCCGGGAACCAGCAGTTAGCGTAATGGCTATGTCGCTGGACTCCCACGTAGTCGACCGCGGTTCGTGTCCCGGACCCGGTGGCTTAAAACTCACGCTGGGCGCATGTGCGTGCGTGCCCAAGACCCCGAGAAGAGAATGGAGGAGAAGGGATTGCGGCGTGGCCATCCCCCCTGGGGGGTGATTTCTCGCTTTCTGTCTCTATGTCCCTCTCTGTCTGTCTGGCGAGTGCACGTGCCCTACAGTGAAAATATCTCCAAAAAAAAAAAAAAATGTGACTTCCCTCTCCCTCCTTTAGGATTTTGGGCACACACACTGATGGTTCAGTTTGGTTTTTAAGCCTCTGAATCTGGGATTCATACCGTGAGGTCCCCCATTTGGGATATGGCTGCCTTGACCATTGGGCCACAAAACCAGCCCACATCTTTTCATTTTTATAAATGGAAATCAAAAGGAATAACACCCATAGAAAAAACTCTACATTTCCTCTACGGCTTTAAATAGGACATGCTAAATAACATTAGTGCTAGATGTATTTGTGTATTTGTGTGTGTTTGTGTGTGCGTGTTTGTAATATTCCTCTGACAAAATGAGAATTATTCTATCTTTCAGTACATGACCTTGTACTTAATGATCTGATTTTAGGAAAT